GCTAAGAAGTTCTGGCACCCCGACTTGTTTGCATCAGGAATATCAGGAAGGGCTGGAATTGGGCAGGAGGTGTTGTTTGGAAGAGCCCTGGGAAGGCTTCCTCTTTGGCCAGTGCACTGCATTGCCATAAACTGGGATTGAGAGATGCTGGCCTTTGCTCTGTATTAGGGTCTTCTCTGCTAGGGTCAGGGCTGCTGGCTGCTCTCCTTACCATGGCAGCAACTGTGCGGCAGATGTAAACAGGGTTCTTGCGCTGGGTGTGATCCTTGTCTCGATGTCGTTCACCTACATCCAGCAGTGTGAAGCAGATGTCAACAATATCCTCCTCAAACTGAAATAAGAACACATTGTTTCAGAAAATTTAGCCTGAACATTTGTTCTCTGGAGTCCCTGCAAGGCTTTGTAACTCTGCAGATTATTTCTCTCTTTCTGCTGATAGTCTTATAGAAGTGGGCTGTAGAGAAGAGGTCTAGGCAGAGATTTGGAGAGAGAGCACAACATACTAAAGGCAGACTTACAGCTTCATTAAAGCAAGGTGAGAAATGCATTAGCATGATACTGCATTCCCTGACTGAGGGGAACTGATGCTTTTCTGAAGTACTCTCCAGGTTGGCACAGAGGTACTTTTGCAATCTGGTGCACTGAAATGGAATAAAGTCCTGTTCTAATCACTGTCTGTGCCAGATACCTTGGGCAAATTGGAAGATCTACTTGTCCGCACTTTGCCTGTAGAGAAAGTAACTAAGGTTTGTTAAATGCTTTTATATCTGTTGATAAAAGGAAGGCACACAAAGCCCAGATATAGGTCAATGCATGTCTTCATAGAGGACAGCCTGAGAAGGTAGCTAAAATTACATATACTGGTTTGTGGGAGTTCATGCACAGGTCCATGTTCTACTGTACAGTCTTAGACAAAGACAGGGAGTGCAGAGCGCAAGTTCCTTCATTAGAGCCACAGTATGGAAATGAATGGCATACGCACAGGAGATGTGCATCCTTCCTCTGCTGGTGGGTGTAAGAAAGCACAGACATACTGGACCTCTTGCTTACCTGACTGAAGTCCCAAGGTTGTGCTAGGACTGCATTTTCTGTCCCCCAGTAGATGACACCGTCTTGGTTTAAAATGTACTCCTGCCGCTGTGCCTCATTAGCCAAGAACACCTCATCATCTAGATTAGAAGAAAAAAGCATCAGGAAGAGAGCATTTCTGGTCTCAGATGCACTTGCTTCTCTCTTACACCAGCAGATTCCATTGCACTCCAGGGATTTCAGCAGTCCCTGGCATTGTGCCCTGAAAAATACCACAGATTCTGATTCACACAGGAAAGAAGAATTTCATTGTCATGTCTGTTTACTTGTTTGAAAAAGTTCCTCCAGACCTAGGCTATTGCACTAGCTGGCTCTTTTATTCTCCTGGCTGTTGTTGACTTCTCTATTCCTAAAAAACGCAGGGTGGTTGTAATCAGACCAATTATAATCTTGACTCATCTTAAAATCTTTATTACAGGAAAATAAAGGAGAGCAGGGCTCTTGACAGTGCAGTACTCCAGGAAGGGGCAGAAGTGCTGAGGCAGGCAGCTTTGAGCTTTTATTAGCCCTTACTCCTTGCTAAGGTGCTGTGAGGAGCAGGGCAGGAATGGCAATCAGTGCTAGGTGAGTCAGCCTCAGCCTCCATGGAGGCACAGTGCCAGAGCTCAAAAGCTGTTTTTGTGAAGTGACTGATCCTATCCTGCCTTTCTGTTTCTGATCACATACCTTGGCACCATGGATTAAAGAGAAGGATGAAGTTGCCCAGGGGATGGTAAGACTTGGAGGCATGTAAAAGCAGAGCATACTGGCCAATGGGAGCACTGGCAGGCGTGTTCACAGAGATGGTCCAGAAGCGTGGGTCCTGTTCTTCCAGTGCTGCGCTCCACTGCTTCTGGTCTCCCAGGCTGGAGATGGGAAATTCAGTCTGGGTTCCATCTGCTTTGGAAGGATGTGATCCTGCAGCCAAAGAGAGCTGGTTGTGTCTATTCCAGACACACATCCTCATCCCATGCAGACTGCAGGGACCTAGACTGTATCTGGAGGCATGACCCTCCTTTCTTGTGAGAGAGTCTTAACCATTCAGCAGTGTAATGCCTAGTGAATCTTCTTAAGGGTAGTACTGCACTCAGGCCTTCATGTTTGAAAATGGGATGTGTATTTCATAGATTTGTATAAACCAGGAACAGCCAGAATGGTGCAGACCTGCTGCTCCTGGATTTCAGTGTCTTGTAACAAAGTCACAGCCAGATGCTCAGATTATGCTAAAACAGGCTGGGGCGGAATGCTGCTGCCTTTCTCAGGGGTCTTACTAGGAAACACTCTGTAACAGCAAACATCTGTAACAGGCTAGCTAACTTTGAACATTCCTAAACCATTCCTCTGCCAGGAGAGAGGAGATATCCCATGAATACTTTCAAATCAGAGAGTAGTGAACCTGCATTGGCTATTGTGCTGCAGTGCCTCTTCTGGAAAGAGGTTTAGTTTTGACCCTGCAGTCCCAGCAGCAGGAGTCTCTGCTCTGCCTTAGATAAACAGTTCACTAGCCTCACTTCTAAATTTGGGCACCCCTGTCCAGCTCTAGAGATGGCTTTTGCCACCAGCTCTGTTCTTAAGGTGGGTGGAGGACCAGACCTCTGATAACTGTGGTAATGATGTTACCTGTCTGTACTATGAGGAAGGTCCTCTTCAGCTGCCACAGGTAGTTGTGTATTGGAGCTGAGAAGCATACAGTGATAGTGAATGGCTGCCCCCGCCTCACCATAAGCCTTTCAGTGCTGATTTCTTCTGTGTGGTGGTTCTTGTTGTTCATTGTGATCTTGAAATCACATTTTTTGATGCTCAGACCTGTAGTGTGAGAAGATACAAAATGAGCTTGGGGCTGGCGCCGGACCACATCCAGAGAGACGCAAGCAGCTGGTCATGTGTTTCTCTGCTCAGCCAGTGACCTCCTACCTTTGAGACTTTCTGCTGACTAACTGTAAGGGCCTTCGCTCTGAATGTAGTTGTTCTTGTGCCAAGTAGCTAATGAGCTGCCTTTGCTTATACCTTAGCATCAGTAAGTGAACCAAGTGATTATACAGAAGCTCTTTCCTGCTCAGGAAAGGACATGGAACAGGCCTGAGCGTTCAAATGGTACAGATGTGGTTAGTACTGAGCATGCACTGCGACTACATTTGGAGTCTTGTTCTCTGTACTAAAGGGCACAGATGGCACTCAAAGCAGCATCTCTCCACATGGTAACATGGTTGAAATTGTGCACAGGAGACAAGCTATTACACCCCATTTGCAGTGTAGGTGTGAGCTCTTCCAGCAGTTACTGCACAGTGTATGTCTGATATGCACCAGAGAACAGCAGCTGGGGCAGACTTCACTGCTGGTTTAAATGTAATGTGGCTGTATAGTCCTTGGAACTGTGCTGGATCACAGCAAGTCAGACACATTTTCCTTCTTTGCACCACATACAGTTAGCAGTCTCACACCTAGAGCTGCAGGAGGCAAAAGAGCTCCTCCTCCTGTCTCCTGTAAATGCATCGTACACATCATATGTGCTTCTGTCCAGCACCAGAAGAGAGGAAAAAAATTGTCACAATTTCAAGCACCCAGTTTGGTGCTCAATGGCTGTAGTGTGATCATATATTTGCATTTTCTTATGGTTTTGCTGGTGGTCTTAATCTTTCCAGACTTCTTGCTGAGAAGCAGATAATACCCTGTTTTTCCTCAGCCGTGTTTTTCTCAGCCTTGGGATCATGCTGACCTCACTTATCTCTTTACCTTCCAACTCATCACTTAGATCCTTGAACCTGTGTATGGTAAACTGCTGTCTGTTACATGACACATTCTGTCACTTAACCCCACCTTCCTGGTCTAGGCTCTCCCTTTGTTCCAGCTAAAAGAAAAATAATCCACGGAGCATTCCCCTGCTCTCTAAAACCATTGCTCCTGTGCTAAAGCCACAGCGAGCGCTCTTTGCAGTTTTCAGTGGTTTGCTCTGTTCTTGTGTATAACTTGCCTTGTCCTCTGCATTGGTACCTTCTCCCATTGCTATTGTTCCTTCTGTGTTTGTTGTGGGAGACCCAGTGGATTGCGCGCTATGTTTCTTTTTTCCATCATTAATTTTGTCGTGCGTTATTTTCAGTGAATGATTCTGGTCTGGCTTTCAAATCCCTTTATGACTGTCCCAGTTCATAGCTCTGCACCAGTTTAAGCTTTACAGAGCCAGCTCTGACCTCTTATTTTCTTCTTTGTAATGAATATGTCTGTTCTGGCTATCTTGTAGACTGGTGAGTCATACGCAGTCTGGTTCCCTCTCTTCAGACAACTTTTTGTGGATCTTACTGTAACTTTCTTCAGAGGTTGCTTGGAACCTAGACCCTCTCCTTGCTCAAGTAGCTGAAACACTTTGTAATCTCTCTGCTTCGGTTCTGTAGTTTGGCTTACCTTCCCCAGCTCCTGCCCCCATCACCGGTTTTAAGGATAACTCGCTTGCCTTTGCTTCTAAACTTTCAGATGTCTGCCTTAGCTGCTTCTTCCTGCTTCTCTCAGACTCCCCTTAGGTATTGATACCAGCTTTTGTTTACTCCCCCTTTTTGTGCAGTGCTCTTTGCGAATTGAGTTCCCGTAGCCTTTAGAGAATTTCCTCAGCTCTTGCCCTGTAAGAAGCTCACCTCTTCTACAAAACTTATGAACACTGTCTTGGAGCAGAGACAGTTGCTTTACCTGACAAACAACTGACAAATGCTTGGGACTAACCAAAGTGATTTTTGCTTACCTTGGCCCATGTCTAGTTCCCTGTACCGTGAAAATCTTCAGCTTCTCTTGCTCTGATGGGCAATGGCTCCTTCCTTCAGCTTTCTTTCAAAATTATCCACTTGCAGAGTTGTTTGCTCTATTTCTTCATATGGGGTGGGATGTGATGTGGAGACCTCTCCTTCAGCTTATCTTGCTGGCCTGCTCTGCAGATGTTGAGGACTCTTTTATCTCTCAGACCACACTAGAGCCTCACAGAAAGGGGTAGCTTCCTACATACAGATGAGGTTAAATTCCACGGTGGGATGTGAAGTCTTTAAAGACAGCCAGTGACAATTTATTTTAAGAGCTGTGCCTTGAAGATGCCAATGTAGGAAAGAGAGTAGGAAATTCAAATCTTAATTTGGCTCTAAACAATGCAAGGAATGCACTTCAAATACAAGTGCTGAAGAGCTGCTCTCCAACATTGGCCCTAAACTGTTTAGCTCCTAAACCCTTCAAGGAGTGAAAACGAAAGATCAATACATCCATTGACCTTGTGCTTAATTCAGAAAAGTGAAACCACTCCAAAATGAGGAAGCCTGTTAACCAATTTTTGCAAAATGTTGATGCTGTCTTGACTGAGACTTGTCACCAAATCACAGAATGGCCGAGGTTGGAAGGGACCTCTGGAGGTCAACTTGTCCCAACCCCCTGCTCAAGCAGGGCCATGTACAGATGATGGCTTTTAAGTATCTCTAAGGATGGAGACTGCAACCTGTCAGGACAACCTGTGCCAGTGCTCAGCCACCCTCACAGTGAAAAAGCATTTTCAGTTTGTGCCCATTGCCTCTGGTCCAGTCACTGGGCACCACTGAAAAGAGCCTGGCTTTGTCCTCTTTTCACCCACCCTTCGGGTGTTTATATACATGGATAAGATTCTCCCCACGTCTTCTCCAGGCTGAACAGTCACAGCTCTCACAGCCTTTCCTCATAGGTGAGGTGCTCCAGTCCCTTCCTAATGTTTGTGTCCCTTTGCTGGACTCTCTCCAGTATGTCGATGTTTCTTGTACTCTGGTTGTGGCCTCAGCAGTGCTCAGTAAAGAGGAAGGATCATGTTCCCTGACCTGCTGGCAATACTTTACCTAATGCACCCCAGGATATCATTAGCCTTCTTTGTGACAAGGGCACATTGCTGCCTTGTGTTAGCTTTGACTAATATTAGGAAGCGTGGAGGTCACCCTATTTGCAGAAATTGAGAAACACTAAATGCAAGCACACTGGGGAGGTATTTCAGTAAATTCTGTGAGTTCATTGTCAACATACATTTTTAAATGTCAGTTTTAAAATGTGTGATTTTAGTAAGTGTCTAACTTTTTTATATAAACAGCTAAGTGCAGTATGCAGTGCCTGGTTTGTGCTCTTTTTAGTGTATGCAAGTTGTAAGCCAGTTGATTGTAATCAAACCGGCTTTCTTTGCACGGTGAGCTTTTCGGTACACCCGTATGGCTGTGTGTAGGATAGTGCCATCTCTTGGTCATCTTGGTAACTGCAAGTAATATTTGTTACGTAGGATGCACGTTGTAAACTGAACAGAGAACTACTTATTGCCCCTTTGTATCTTTCATTACACGGAAAGGGGCTGAAAAAGCCTGCTAAAAAGGTTATCACCCAAAAGGGACTCCTGCATCCAGTGCTGAAGTGCTAAGAACAGACTGTTCCCCATGCCTACTGTTGACAGGGGGTCTCCATGAAGGACACAATAATGAGCTTAAATGGCAAAGAGAGAAATCCAAGGCAGATTTTAGAAGACATCTAATGCTCAAGAAAATACCTTTGAAAGGTGTAGGAATATCTTCATTGCAGGTTAATGTGAGTAGGTTATAGGCACATCTATGAGGTGGACTCTCTCCTGGGTTGGAGGAATAGACAAAATGAAGAACCTCTGCTTTTCTTGGTTGTATTCAGGCTTCTACTGGCTGGCATAAAGATGCTTATAAATTGCATGGGCTGCCATAAAGATGTTTATAACTTGCATCAGATGGTGCAGCCTTCAAGATCAACTTGTGGTAGCCACCAGTGAACAAGGCACAAAGATGTCAACAGTCATGACACAGTCCAACATAACTGGTGTTCCATCTGGTGAGAATTTGCTGTCCTAAGTTAGATACATGAGGTTTTCCATCCAAGATCTGAGAGAAGGAAACAGGAGTTGGCCACTACAGAGCTCAAAACGTTTAACAGAAGTGCTGAGATTTCCTACTTGTAAATCACCTTGCCTTCTGTCTGGACTATGGGGTTCTCATACGTTGATTTTCTTTCAATCGTCAGTTGTTTCACCTGTTAGTTTAAGTGCCATTCACATCTGATCCAACACTTACGTTTGGTAAAGGCAAACCTAAAACAGAGTCTTCATTACTGATGATACTAAAATGGTGCAGCCATTTCTGTATCTTGCAATTGTTACTGTACTGTCAAAATTTGAGTTTGGATTGGTTCTGCTTTTTTACTCTATAACTTGCAACCAGCAATTTGCATGTCTCTGTGCAGTCACTCTGAACTTTCAGACATGTTGATAGATAGGTATTTCTGAAGTGTACATACAAGAATTTGTATTCTTTATATTTTGGTGGTTAAAAGGTGGCTACACTGTCACTTTGGAGTAGTATTTCTTCCATGCACTCAGCATAACTGTATTTGGAATTGTGCACAAAGGTTCTCCTCTCTTACTGGTTGCCTAACTTCAGCACAACATTGTCTGTTGATAGTGTTATGTTCTGTGTCAGGAAGTAGTCAGATTGACAGTCCTTCAGATGCAGCGACAGGTAGCTTTACTGTATGGATCCTCTGAAGGTGTTGCCCTAAGATCTTCCAGCAAAAAAGATCAGACACTTCAGAAAAATAGGTGTTGGCTTTTGTTTTTTTTAGTCTAAACTGTACAGGGCAAATTCAATAACCTCTTGATTTACTTTGTCTTGCAGGTTTGTTTGAAGAGTGATTCTTCCATAGGCTTTCCACATAGCTGTTACTTACAGATTTCTGGCTCCATAAAGGAGCAACTTATCTTTGTGGGAGCTCCAGGAATAATCATTCATTATGACATTCTTTTGAAAAGACTGGGTTTGGGTTTTTTCCTGCAAAATCCACCCCTCCTGTAAGTCCTTCTCAGTGATCTCTCCAGTCACAAAGTCAGCTTGACACGAGGTTTATTTTTCAGGCTTCCTTTTATTCAAGAAGTCAAAGCATATAAGCTCAAGCTGTCTTTTATTATAATATGGATTCCGGTCCATTGTCCTGCACAGTTGCTAGGTGTGAATATAATTTGCTCACACATTTAACACATATTAATCATGCTTTTGATATGTGCCATTGTTTATAAAACTGCAATTGTGATCGACCAACATTCTGTTTATGCTGATTTCAACCTCTGAACTTGAGGATGCAATGACATCAGTGTTAGTATGTGTAACCTCGTACACAATATCCATGAAATCAACTAAGTGAATTCCTTTCTTTGTTGTAAGGATTCAGTAAGAATTAACATTTACTCACTCACAATTAACCACGTGCAAACCTATACTTGTCTCTAAAATGCAACAAAAGCATAAGCATGTGCAACTTGCTAAACTGGGTCAGGATAGAAGTTCGTCCAGTGTAGTCTAGTCTCTGACAGTACACCATGCCAGAGGAACATGCATGAGTTTCACCCCCAGCAAGTGAGACATTATCTTGTAGTTGTTGATTTTCAAGACTGCTTATGTTGTAATAATGCAAGATTTCATATCACTCTGTGAGTTCTTATTAATGATAAATATTCCTTGTAGTAATCCCCTCCTGTCTGCTTTGCAGTCTAACATCATAAGTAGGAATCATAGAAACACAAGGGGCTGTAGTCTCAGTTGAGCTGTCTGTTTATACTGAGGTCTCCTTCTGCACTTGACACGGCTGATCTGATGTAACACTCTGTGTGATGGTGTACGAAAAATTGCTTTCCTGCAGTGCGTTTACCAGCTGAATTTCACTGATTGTTATATTGTCATCCATTTTGCCTTGTTTGGGACTCTCTGAAGCTCCTCATAGTTTTTCAGTCCTCAGTAATTTAAAAGGCTTTATGTCATGAGTAGATTTTGCACCCTTTTTGCACTCACTTCTAGCATTGCTTCTTTAGAAAAAAATCATCCAGGTCTAAGCAAGTGTTGTCACTGCTCTGCATCCACTACATCCCTGACATGCTCATAGAAATCTAAAGGAAAAGTGATCCATAGGATCCTTAAAAGTATCCATCCTGGCTGGATATTACTGCATTATTATCATTATAGTGCTTGGGGATTCTTGTTGTTTTACAGGTCCAAACATAAATCCATAAAAATCTTTCTAATTTTTATTACCTGTAAAAATAGAAGCTTAAAATGTTACCTGAGCATATTTAATAACTGTGTCTCTTTCTGAATGTAGTGATAACAAAATACATACGTCTAATTTTCCCTTTTGTTGTATCTACATTTTCAGCTCTAACATGGTATATCCATGAATTAGATGTGAATTTTCCTTTTTGGTGGAATTTCTTGTTTCTTTAGAGCAAGAAGAAATGCTTACATTGTGACTACTTCTGTTTTGTCTTTTATTGTGAACAGTATCCTGCATATTTGGTACACAGAGTGATAGATACCAGGTGCTAAAGCAACTGGGCATTTTTTCTAATCTGTAAAAGAGCAGTAGTTTAATTGACTGGCTGAATCAAGGCTCTGGAAGCTTAGATCAGGAGAACAGAATGGTGGGGAGAACAATTCACCATCCTGGCACTGATTTTAATGTCTTTCAAGGCCAGTTCGTAGTATGAATGTGTCATGTCAGCCAGTGCTCCCTTGATTTTTTTTTTTGAGTGATCTGAATGGAATGTGGGCTGCGTCAGCCTCTTGGACATGCTGAGATTTAAACTGTGTATAAAGCCATATAAAGTATGGGTGATAGTTAGCCATATTTTATTCCACCAACACCCATTGGCTTCTGACTAAGGGCTATATGAAAATTGTAGGTTTGGCAAAAGCTATTTAAAGCCTGCCTTGGGCACTTACACATTTTTCTCTGTACTAACAATTAGTTTAATTGAACAGTTATCTTATGTCTAACACGGGAAGAATGTGTATTTCTTTTACGTGGCGCTGGCCAGATCTGCATTTTAACACTGAAACTGAGCTGAGTGTGGTTGCTGAGGGCACTTAATAATGCTAACAACCTGAAACCCCAGCAGCCCACAGTGTTGCAAAGCTTGGAATTTGGCACAAGCTTTAGGGTTGATTTTCCTTTGAACAGCAAGCTTCCTTTACAAATAGTTAATTATGATGAGGTCATTCCAAGCTTATATGACAAACACTGTCTGAAATAATTTCCTGGATTGTACTTATGAAGAAATCCTGAAGGAATTTGAATGACTTGGCCGTACTGTGTGTTAAATATAATGACAGTCTGCATTCTTGCAAGATTTAATGAAATTTTTTGAAACACCATCACTACCTCAGGGCTGTTTCTGAGGTTAGTGCAGGACTGCATACCCTGACTTTCCAAGATTCTGCAAGACTTAATTGATGGGTGCAAAGCTACCTATTCTCCTTTGCCTGGAGAAATCTGAATTCCCCCCCGTGTGCGTGTGTCCCCTTTTCAATCTTCACTCCAGTCTTCTGGGCTGACTAGTTTTGACAAGCTTCTGCGTCCCTTGTAAGTATATGAGTTGGTGGCAAAATATTGTAACAGGTGTAATAAAGTAGGAGTTCATACGTTTTGAAGATTTTGTTTGCTTTAAATCAAAGCCATTTAAATAAAACCTCAGTTCAATCTGTGTTGCAAAGTCAGTTTGTGTCTGTGAAACATTCTCTCTGGGCAAAGTTTGGACTGCACTGCTGGACAGTACTAGGTGCTGTCAGGAGGAAAAGGTCAAATTGTCTCTTAGGAATATTCAGACCTTTGCTATTTTGGCTTGTTAACTCTTCAAGGAGAAAATGGACACAGTGCTGGGAGTTACACATGGGTGGCATAGTGCCTTCCTCATGGAAGATGATGATCTACTTTAAGTAGCTTTGTGGAATGAGGGTGTGTAACTGGTAATTGTGGATTTTCATACATCGTTCTAATTATATGGTCCTGAGCCTCTTACTCCCATCCTGTGCTTTCTGAGCACTTTGCAAAGTATCTGCCTCTGCAAACAGAAAAATCAGTCTTTTTTTCCTGTCTGCTTTATGATACCTGCATGAAAGGAAACAGGTGGAACTTCCTGTGGCATAAGTTAGGACACAATGACTTTCTAGGATACATATAAAGGGCTGGGTGAAGTATGTAGCAGCAGGTGTGGGCAAGTGACAACCTTGGCAGTAGTGCCAGTGCAGAACAAAAATACATGTCATAGGCTGCTTTTTTTCATGTGGTCTTGTGGACAAGTTTGACCAGTCCTCCTGGAAGTTTCTGACCAAGAGCAAAGTCACCCAAACTTTCCTCCAGCCCCCACTCCCGTTTTGTCAAAATGCATAATGTGAAAATAATTTGGACCATCGCGTTGACTGATTGCCTGTGTTGGTTATGGTTTCTGATCACTACTACTGCCTGTTGGATCTATAATAGATTCAGACTAGTAGGGGATGAGATCGCAAAGCCAGAGAGCATTGTAGAGTGAGTCCCCACACACACTCATTTTCTTCTTGGGAAATTGCTCATGTTTATGCTTAGCAAAGCTTTTTTAAATACTCCTAAGCAATTGCAGCTGTTCCTTATGAAGAGGATACAGTTTGGGATCCTTTGCTGTGGGACGCTATGACAGCTCAGTCAGTTTTTCTTGCAATATATCTCCCAAATTGGCACCTTAAACTTGTCCATCATTTGTATTTGAAACGCAATGAAATATAGCAGTCAGTCTCAGAGTTATGTATAAGTCCTGAAAGCTTTTAGCTGTCCTTAAGTTAGAAAAGTTCCAGTAAAAGGTATTTGGGTAGTTTCTGTAAACTGAACAGTGCAGGTATCTGTTTCTGGAGTTGCCTTGCGAAACTAAGCATCTAAGTCAGCGAAGTATTGAGAAATGTACTTGTTACATCAGCTGCATTTTTTCCCGTCTCTGCCCAATGGGAATGGGAACCAGGTTTTCCCCTCCAGTAAACTCATTTAACTCTTTCTGCATAAAATTTCCCCCCCCTTTCTTCTCTCTCTCCCCTTCCCCCTCCCGCCCCCCTTTTTTTTTCCCCCCCTTTCTTCCCTGGCTCCCCTTCCCCCTCCCGCCCCCCTTTTTTTTTTTCTGTGTTGCTGGTAGCTATTCTTGCATTTGTAGCTCTACCACTGTACAGGACCAGTTGCAGTCATGTTCTCTTAAAACTCTTGGTAACCAAAGGCGCTTAGTTTAGGTGAAATTAGAATGATTTCTTGAGTTCCATGTTCTGTTTACCTATGAATTCTTAACATTTCTCGTGTCCTAAAGATCTAACCACCTGTTAAAATAAAAGTTCTTTATATTTTCCTTTTAGCACTCCTTAAAAGAGTGAACCGGGGTAAAGACTTTTTCTTACCATGTCTTTTAAAAGAATGTTATGTATATTCATGCAGCTACATAAATAATATATCTCTAAAGATGATATTGTCTTAGATAAAAGTAGGAATGATACTTTTGCGTATGTGATTGATAGAAGGAGACTTCAGCAAATGGACTTTTAAGACTTGGATAAAACATTATGCTCCTGGAACAGAGGAGATTTTATTTGTGCACCCACGCTCCTCCTGAGTGCACTTGTTGTGACATCTCTCTTTCCTCAATAGATTAAAATACAATTTTACATTAAAATGTAAATTTACTTTAAATTTATTATCCATAAGCTTCTGTGGAAGAGGGTGATTGTAGAGATGTAGCCAGTTGAACAAGTTTTGGGCTGAACCCATAGGATAGGGGCTGTAAGACGTGTTTTATTATATTTTCCTTGGTAAATATCTTTTTCCCCCTTCTCAAGAGCCAAATACTTTCCTTTCTTTTCCTGGTAGAGCCAACTAAAGTAAGTGACAATTGAGACTGTAATGAGGAAGTAAATTTGTAGGATGTGTATACACAAAAATTTTCATAATCCTTAACTACAGTGTATCAGTGACAGAATCATAGAATGGTTTGAGTTGGAAAGGGCCTCAAGATCATCTAGTTCCAACCCCCTGCCATGGGCAGGGACTGCACACTAAACCTTGTCACCTAAGACTCTGTCCAACCTGGCCTTGAACACTGCCAGGGTTGGAGGATTTATCACTTTGGGCACCCTGTGCCAGTGCCTCACCACCCTCACAGGGAAGAATTTCTTCCTTATATCTAACCTGAACTTCCCCTGTTCAAGTTTGAAGCCATTACCCCTTGTCCTATCACTCGAGTCCCTAATGAAGAGTCCCTCCCCAACATCCTTATAGGCCCCCTTCTGATACTAGAAGCTGCTCTGAGGTCTCCATGCAGCTTCTCTTCTCCAGGCTGAACAGCCCCAACTTTCTCAGCAACTTTCTCAGCCTGTCTTCATACAGGAGCTGCTCCAGCCCCTGAGCATCCTCATGGCCCTCCTCTGGCCTTGCTCCAGCAGCTCCATGTTCTTCTTATGCTGAGGACACCAGAACCGGGCACAATACTCGAAGTGGTGTCTCACGAGAGCAGAGCAGAGGGGCAGGATCACCTCCTTTGACCTGCTGGTCACGCTTCTTTTGATGCAGCCCAGTATATGGTTAGCTTTCTGGGCTGCAAGCACACACTGCCTGCTCATGTTCAGTTATGTGCTTTGGTTTCAATCAGATTTGCTGTGGTAGTGATTTATTCAGTTATCTTTGGAGAAGTTGCATTCTTTCTTGTAGTTCATTCAGAAGGAACTCTGGGCATTTTGAGACAGTGGTGCCTGTGTGACGAGATATGTGTGGAAATAAATGTGTCAGTCCAGATGACAGGTCACATATTTACTCTTTAATGATGTTCTGCTTAGTTTCTGTTTTCTGGAACAGCTTTTCCAGCCTATTACTATTTCAGATGCCTATTATATGTACTATTTTCAGTACTTGCCACTCCTTAATCTAGGACCTGTTTCTTTTGTCTGCTTTTGTACTGTTACTCCCAGTCACCTCTTTGGCAAACATTTAATTATTTATGATATATCACATGATTAAGTCATGATCTGAATAGGACAACTGTGAATCAAAGAGTATTGCTTATTGAATAGCTTCTAATTTTTTCAGTCATGAGAAGAGAGTTCTGTTGTAACGCTGTCATATCTTATTGCTGTATTTTCCTTCTAGTAATTAAATGAAATTATAAATTTAATTCTAGAATTTAATTCTAGAATTTAATTATGTCAGCTATGTGGGTAGTACTTGGGCTATTATTGAATAAAACTTATATTTAGTGATTAAATTTAAGTTATATTCAGTGAAGCTTACACAATAGTGATTTTAAATGATGCTCCTTGAAAATCTGGCTGTTATCATTGGTACATGCTCTAATGCTGAAAACCATCACGCTTGATCCTCTCCTTCAAGTTAAATTATGTAATGATTTCCACTAGGAATTCTGTTCATGAGGGACCATAAAACAGGTTAGGGAATGAAAAAGATGACAGTGTCTTTACAAGTATAGTGTATAGTACCCTTTTCTTAATTTCTGTTCATATTGTGTCACTTTGCTTTGGCTGAGTAGTCTGTACTTCTGTGCTCCCAGTCAGAGTAATGTATGAACTCTGCATCAGTCTCATAAACAGAGCCAAAACTGCACTGATGTACAGGTGATATCACTGAGCAGGAGCCACATCAAGCATCACAAACCCCTTAATGTCTGAAAAATGGATGCAAACCAAGTCCACCTGAAGCTGCCTGGTGCCACTGCTGTAGGGAATGATTTCAAATTGGACTGTTGAGCTCTCCATGGGGTCCATTCTTGCCACACTGAAAGCAAGAATACAGTTGTAAGTTCAAGCAGGTGAAAAATTCTTGCTATGTATTCTTCAGAGTCCTCAAATCTAAGACAATATGGAAAGGAAGAGTCAGAGGCTGCTGTGTTTGTGTGCTCCTAGCACAGGTGGACATAACCTTCCATGTTCACAGTGCCCACAACGCTATCCTTGAAGAATTAGTCAAGCTATAATGGATGTGGTAGAATAGTTGCAGTTCTCAACCTGTGATAGAGGATTAAGAGTTGTATCATGAGGGCAAAATGTATTGAGCACCTGAGGAATGATCAGAAAGGTTATCTTTAGAAGAGCTCAAATCCAACTGTATGTATTACCCTGAACACTCACAACATTTATAGTACTGTAGATATCCTCATGCTGTATTTTGGTGTGGTAAATATAATTACCTGTTGATTTATGTTCATAGTTTGAAAGACTCTTGGCTGTCCAACGCAAGGAGAGTGATATTAGCACCAGAAAACAGAGTGTGGGGAAAAAGGGCCTCTATGCTCTAAGGGGGTATTGAAGCTGAGCAAACCCAATGATGGAAAGGCAAATTAAGGGTCAAGGTCACAATCTAGGCCTGAATTTTCTGTTCAATGTAAATGAAGCCTTAGTGATTTATATCACTTTTGCCATCTTTTTTTGTTTTCCCCTCACAGTTTCTTTGTGATAACATCCCCAGCATAAAAATTCTGAAGACTTTAAAAAATGTTTTAAAAATAATAAGCATGGAGGAGATGGGAGACCAATTTCTGTACAGTATACTGTATGGTCTATTGGTATGATAGCAGTGCACACATTTTTAAGACATTTCATTACAGCGTATGTCCTGGCTCTTTAGTAATTTAATATCTAAAGGAAAAAAAGATATCATTGATTCTTCCCTTATCCTTCAAGGATTGTTTGATTTTCCTTTTGCAAACCACAAAAGGAAGAAAGTTTTAAAACTGTTGCCGTTTAAATAGTTCAGTCACTAACTACAGGACTGTTGAGTTACACACTGTCATTAAAAGCAGGCCATCTCTCTACTTCCTGAGCATTCTGTAATTCAAGGTTTGGCAAAGGAGGTATAAAGAACTCCCAACTAGTATATGGAGAGTACTGATGTGATGGTATTTTGTCCAAGGTGGTGCAAACAAAACTCAGGAGCTTGACTGATTCTTAAAAAACCACCCCACTTTTATTCCAGATTTCCCACAACAGTGAAGACGTTATTAGCCATGTAGTATTTACATACTTGATTCTGAGTTGCTCTTTGAGCAGGCCGCTACCTTCTGCTCTCAGGACACAGTCTGTCACCACTTCAGGCAGTGGGTTGGTAAATGTGACCTGCACATTAACAGCCTTATGTACCACTGTTGGACCGAGGACCTAGAGAGAGAAAACATTCTGCTCAGCCACGACATTAGTCTTACTTCTTTCTCATGTTTTTTTCTCGTTTAATTCCCATTGCAAACCACTTACCCTCTTTTAGGGTCTCCTGGACAGGTAGGAGACAGGAATTAATATGTGTACCTGTTTTGGGGCTTCAGAGTTCAGGTTTGAACCCAGTGTGGCTGCCTGATTTAGTCAGCCTACTCCTAACTTTTAAGCTAGGTCAGCGTGTGGTGTTCTGTATAACACAGTATATGATACTTACCAGACTGAGAACATAATGAGAATACAAGTATTAAGTGGGCATACATGGCTAACTACTGTAGGCAGCTTAGGTCAAATGAGCTTCATTTAGGCTAAATGAAAAGTTTAGGCTTAGAAAACGTTGGAGGTGTGAGGCAGAGGTAAATTGTAGCATCTCATGGGGAAAAAAAAAAGAAGCAGTGCCGTGTAGCAAATAACATTCAGCACCTTTTTTGTCTGAGATAAAGTGTAATTGGCATATCTGGTTATCTTTGTAGGTAATGTGATGTTAATTAACATGGTGAAGTCCAGCGCCCCAGTTGCATTTCTCTGTTGTTGACTGTATGTTTATACAGAAGTTTCAATCAACAGAAATATAAACTCATCTTGAAACTTAGTCACTGAATTGAAGTAATTTAATTCAGGTGCCTACCCTATATAAGATGACTCTTGTTTGCATGATATAGCATAGAAGGCTTTTTACAAACTCTCACTGAAACTTGGTATTCAAAAACCACCAGGCCTATAAAAATCCAGCATTTTATTCTTCTGTGTAACCTTGCTTTTCCCATATGCTACTGACAGTGATTTGGGATAGCTAGTCTAGTCTGGAGGCTCTGAAAGACCCTGCAAATTATCATACTCTATGTGTGGTATGTATGATCCCATGTCTGATGCAGCATGTGAATGTGCTGAGCTGTTCAAAAGGAGTTAGGCTAGTTAGACTAAGAATTGCTTTTTATCCATTGTACAACATTTGTGGCACGTCTGTGTTAAGGGAGGAAGAAAAAAAAGGCAAAAAAAAGCCTCTGGTTCTAACTATTCATCATTTGAGAAGATGTCACAAGGTGAAAAATGCCTCTTTTCCTGATAAGGTGAAAGAACTTCCTTGAGGATTAGTAATAAGGAGCCTCACAGCCCCAGGCATTATCAGTTAAGTAGATTTCTTTTGTAAAAACCATGCTTCCTAAATAAACTGGAAGAGAATGATTAGACTTCCCTGACAATAGCGGAGTCCTAGATGTGAACTAAATCTCTGTTTCTCTGGACATAATCTTACCTTGTAACTATTGTAACACTGAGAACTTTTATCAGTGCCGTATCAACAAGCAACTGGCAAGAATGCCGTTACTCAGCTATGCCTTGGAAAGGTTTGCTTTTCTTTAGTGTATTTCATTTCACTTGTGTCATACGGCCTGTTACTAGAGCAACAAGATCAAATCACCCTGAGGCAGGATTTCACTTCCCACACTCCTTCCCATGAGGAGTAGATGGAGTAGGGATTCTTGTTCTTCTCAACACGTCTTTGTAGGGACACAAAGGGGACTAGCTTTTACCTTGATGGTGAGAAAAGGATGCTGAAGTACAATATCCTTCTCCACTAGAAGCGAGGCTCCCTGTTTGGTTTCGCACACAGCAGTCACTAGGATCTTCCTGTCATCCATCAGAGCATTTTTGTACTGGGAATAGGAGATCTTGATTGAAATCTTTTTCACTGGAATGGAAGTAAAAACAGGATTTCCCTCTCTTCTTTTTCCTGTGTGTAAGTACCAGCTATCTGTAATCTATCTGCATTTTAAGGAGCAAGGGTGCTAACACCCTAGGGCTGTCCATTTGTGGGTGTCACAGCCCATAGACAGGAATGATGCTCATGGGTGACTTTTACTTACATTCACATCAAATGCTGAATTCCCAGGTACAGTTTGGTAGCTGGCCAGTTCGCAGGATGGGTATATGTGGCAACCCCTGCTGGTGATTTTTGGGTTTTTTTTGTCTGTCTGAAGCTGGGCATTTAATGCTCCTTCCTTGCAAAGAAGGCAAAAATGAAAAGGTGGATTGGTTTAAATGCCCTTGCTGATGCAGCTGTCCAGCCTCTGCCTTAAAGAGTGTGCACAGCCAGCCTGTGTGCAGCGGATCGTCATACATTGAGAAAAACCTTTAATCTACTGCTGGAACAATGGAAAGGCTTACACTGTGTGGGTGTTAGCTTCAGAGAGCAGCTATAGTCATCTCTTCTGCATGTCTCATTTTTCAGCACTGGCTCTATAAAAGCAGGGCAAAGGCCACTATGTGCAGGTAGTTCCTGTTCTACTGCTGCAAAAAACATATACTTACGTTTCCCCCTTTAATCTCTCTTTATACTTTGCTTGTGGGGAGCTGATATCTGAGTAGTCTCCAGTGTATGTCTTGTAGTTGTTCTCTCTTAGCAAAAAAGGTCTTAATGTAGAACTAATAATGGCTGTGTTGGGTCAGACAAAACCCAGCTCAGTATCCTTGCTGACAGTGCCCAAAGTCAAATGGTTAAGACGGGTCAAATACATAGGTTTCTCTTCCCCTGAATAGCCTTAACCTCCAACCATTTGCAGGTCATGCACTTCTTGAGCCAGTCATTATTTCTATGTGATTTGGCCACAAACTAAAGCTATGTCTTCTTCTAAGCTGTAATAAAATTAAAATTACCTTCTTCAGATCCAAGTTTAATAGACCTAGACAACTGCAAAATCTCTGCCTTTGGTTTTCTTGTGTAGAGAATGGCTGAAGCCCTCAGTTTAACCTTTACGGTCTTGAAATCTGAGATTAAGTTCCTGAGTGCCAAGGTTAGGAGGATATCCTGGCCAATTACAGGAGATGCATCAAGGATCAGCTTCCCTGAGATACTGGGGGTTTGTGCAGGCTGTGTCGTATTTTGTCTCCATGCTACTGAAGATTGTCTTCTGCGTCTTTTAATTTTGGTTCTTTTCCTGGTGCTTCTCACACCAAGCAGCTTCAGTGCCTTTTTATACACCTGCCTTTCTTTCCGGGATCCTGGTTTGAAAGATAACATGGTCAGATCTCGTGAGTGCTGGATATAGTGCAATGCAGCCATAACTGCTCTCAGTAAATACAGTTCAGGAAAGCTGAGGAGGGCAAAAATATACATGAGGAGAAAGTGAGGTCTAGCCTAAATAATTTTCATACAAAAGCAAATGAGTGTGCATGGCCATAAAGGCTGGAATGTAAAACCTGCCTGTCAGCTTTAGCTGGCTGATCACAGGCACTTCTGAGAAGCTATGAGCCTGGAAGAGCTCATAGTGCTCAGTGCTTCGTAAGCTGCTGTAATTGCCATCTCCTCTGAAATTAAGAAGGGTGAAAAAATCCTTTTGCAGGAACTTCCCCAGACAACTCTCCCAAGTGGCTATTGCTGCATGTCATAACAAATATTCTTACCACCTGATCAGAACAGCTGGGACAGAATGTTTACAGAAGTAGCTTTGACTTTGTATTGAATACATCACTATTTCATCAAGGGCCACAAAAGCTACATTGAGTCATGATCAGCTGACAGTGAGCCCTACAACTTTGAAAATTCACAATTCCTTTGCTCCAGAAGAAGTAAAGAAATCAAGTCAGTGCTCAATCCAGTGAAGGCCTAAATTCTTTTCACTTCTGACCATCAGTGGCTAGATAACTGTAATAAAGAACTTACCTTCTCGATATTTGTAATTAGCAGTGACATCCACACGGGAGTTGGTGCCCACTGCTTTGGTGCTGATAAATTTTCCAATCTTCCTAGTATCGGAATAAATTCTTTCTTTTCTTTTGTTGCTATAGTGAATCCAAGTAACATAGTCAGCATTCACTGCTGCAAACACAAATGAACTGTCATAATCCAGATTCACGTCCCCTTCCTTAATGGCTCTAGTGGAGGCAGGACCACACTGATATATGCCTATATTAGAGTGAGAGAGAAGTTAAATGACTGCAAAAGGACACAAATTCTCATGCTGACAGCAAGAGGGAGAGGTAGTCACTCCAAAGACACATTTGGATAAAGTGCTTTGTTTCTATGTCTGTGCATTATGGTAACAGCTTATCCAGAGACTCTACTTGCATTTTCTATCAAAAGGTAAGAGCGCAGAGGAGGTTGTAAGGCTACTAAGGTGTAGGAAGAGTGAACACTTTTTATGAAGTGTACTGTGTGAAATGTTCTAACCCGTCAAAGCTTGCAAGGCTGTATGCTAAGCTGTCTTGTGAAAGGAGAGGCTGGGCACCGAGTCTGAAGTGTAGTCAGGCTTACGAGATGTGAGCCATCAATGCTATGTGTGCATTGAGAAAAACCAGGAAACTAAGTTTGGTAAACTCAGTAGTGGTGAATGAGAAGCAGTTTATCTGAAGTTTGATGGGTTTTAAATGGCCAAATAAGTTATTCTTTTGATGGAGGTCATCGAACTAGATCAATTCAGTTGTATCTGTATTGGTAAATAAAACTAGAGCCAAAATGTGAACCCAAGTGCTGGTAATTGGTTGTCAACATTGTTTACTTGCTAGCAAGCTCGTTAGTGTGGTTTTTTTCTTCCCTTGTCAATGAGCAATTTTTCAGACAGTGGCTGTGAAAAATTCAGGGAATGGGACAGACAGGGTTTGTTCCCAGCAGCTTGTGCTGTTATTTCGGTCTGGTAGGGGGAGTTCAGTATGAAGAAAAGCCATTCTATGTCATTTTGTTTCAGAACCAGAGAACAGTTTGGCATTTCCTTCATGTAGCTTTGTATATCTGCCATGTTGTTGGATGCAGAGTATCCAGTGAAATACAGGGTAGAGTCATGGGGCATATTTTATTTTCTCATGTAAACTGTTTGGTTCAGCCCTGTGACTATAAGCTCTGAAATCTTTACTTAGCATCTTACTAAAAGGGGTTTTAATTTGTTTTGCTGCTAAATCTGTTCAGTGCAAGCCAGCAAACGTGTCTAATGCCAGCAGTGTGCCCTTGCAGCAGGGAAGGCCAACAACATTCAGGGCCACATCAGGAAGACTTTTGCCAACAGGTCAAGTGGCATGATCGTTTCCTTCTGCTCAGCACTGGTGAGATCACATCTGGAGTGCTGTGTCCAGTTCTGGGTTCCTCATACAGGAAAGATACGGACATATGGGAGCAAGTCCTTCAGAGTGCTACAAAAAAGATTAAGGGATGAGAACTGGGGCTGTTCTACCTGAAGGGAAGGCTTGGGGGAATGTTACCAGTGTGTATAAATACCTAGTGGGAGTGTGTAAAGAAGAGAGAATCAGACTCCTCAGTGATATCCAGTGAAAGCAGAAGTAGCAGTGGACACAAATTGAAACACAGAAAATTCCATTTAAACATAAGAAAAAAACTTCTTCTGTGAGGGTGGTCAAACTCTGCAGCGGTTTGCCTAGGGAGCTTGTTGAGTATCCATCCTACGAAATACTCAGTAGCCCCACTCGATATGGTCCTGAGAAACGTTTTCTAATTGACCCTATGCTGAGCAGGGGGTTGGACTAAACAAATTCTAAAGGTTTACCTTAGCTATTCTGTGTCATTTTATGAATCTGTTAGGGGCTAAGACAAGCAAGGGTGAGATAGGTGAACTTAAGATGTGCTGGCTTTTATGGAGGCACAAGATCAAACAAGTAAGAATTGCATGCTGGTAGGCAATCCAGAGGCTGACAGAAAAGTGTTTACTGGAGATTAATGTGGGTGTTAACTTTTCTTCTGACCTGAATTAATGCTGCATCTACAGAGAGCAGGTGGAAGAGAGCTATCCTGAAATTTCAGAACCAGTCTTTAGAAGTAACAGTATCTACAACTTTTTATATTTACATCAGTGTTACCTTTGCTTCTTTCCTGGGGTGTTGCATCCAGAACCTGCCATCCATCATAAAAAGAGCCAAGATCTCTTCTAATGAACCAGCTTTCATTCCAGACATGGAAATTCCTATAAGGGAGGTAGAATAGGGAATCTCTGGTTCATACAATTAATTTTATATTGAAAGATTTGGTATATTTCTGGTACAGTGCATGAAATAACCCTTGTTGAGTGACTGAAAACTCCTCTGTGGAGAGACCAGCTGCCAACTCCTTTCTTGACTGGCTCTTTAACCACCTTTGCCAGATTTTTGTGTTTGGATTTTTGTGTTCAGATCTTTGTGAAATGTTGGGATGTTATAAGGAAAATGTTAAAAGGAAAATAATTCATTGCAGAGTCAAGTATTGAAGAATTCTGGACATTCCATAGCAACATACTTTACAGCCAAAGGTCTTCTGCGCACACTGCTATCTGCTGGTATTTATGTCACAGTTGTTTTTTACTTCATGTCGCCTTTATCCCATTTGGTCCACATAGTATAGTGTGCTTAGTGACTGAAACACCTGTGCATGCAGTACAACTCAGTGTGATATTTTTTGTTTAGAAAGAAATAGCATGTTCTTCCTAAGGGATGGATTTTTTCTCAGCTGCATTAAATGTATCATTTTTACTTGGGCAACCTCACAGTATTGTGCAAGGGATGTATAATGGTAATCATGAAAGACTTAAGACCATCAACAGCATGTAGCACAGGAGCTGGGTCTAAAACTTTGGGGCTCCTGAGAGTGCTCTGCTCTGGGAATTGAGGGACCAGCTGGTTCTGGTTTTGGGCAAGAGGTGAATCATTTCAAATTTTTTTTTTTTATTTCAACTTTCATACGGTAGAGACAAAATTAGCAGGTATATTTTCAAATTATATGTTGAATGGCAGTGGTACAAAGTATGTCCTCTGCTAATTCTTTGGAATGCTGAAACTGACATTGCATTTTTCCACACGACATCCTTGTCTCTAAATTGGAGAGACATCAATTTGATGGATGGACCACTCAGTGGATAAAGAACTGGCTGGATGGCCGCACGCAAAGAGTTGCGGTCAATGGCTCAATGTCCAGTTGGAGACCAGTAACGAGTGGTGTCCCTCAGGGGTTGGTGTTGGGACCTGTCTTGTTCAACATCTTTGTTGGTGACATGGACAGTGGTGACATGATGCACCCTCAGCAAGTTTGCTGATGACA